GGGGTGCTGTGGCGCCGGGCTGCGTCCTCGGGCGGGGGTCGGGGGCCGGCGGCCGCGACCGTTCCCGCGCCGGCGCTGACAAGCTCTGCGCGCGCGCCCCGCCCCCAACCGCCTTTATGCGCCGGCGGCCCCGCCCCTCCGAGCTCCCGCGCGCGCCGCGTCGGGCGAGACCATCGGGCCCGGGCGGGCGGGGGAGTCCAGACGGCAGAACCCGCTCCGCGGGCTGCCCGACCCTGGGCGGGGCGCCGCCGGCCCGCAGCCCCGACGTTGCCTTCGGGGAGGCGGCGGACCGACGTCGTCCGAGTGGACGAGGAGAGGCCCGAAGAAACGTTGCCCCCCTCCTAGAATTGGAGCGGCCGCGCCTCCGCGGGCGGGGGAAGGGGGTCTTGGCGGGAGATTGGGGCGCGCGCGCGACGCGGGCGCTCCCGGGGGGGAGGGGGTGCGGGCAGGCGGCGGGTCTCTGATTGGTCGGCCCCGCGGGGGCGGTCTCTGCGCTGGCGGGAAACGGGAACCCGGAAAGGGAGGCTGCGCTGACGCTGCGGTCTCGGCCCACAGCCGCCGCACCGGCCCGGCGCCGCTGGCCCCCGTCAGCCCTCCCCGCTGCGCAGTCTACTTCCGCCGCTTTCAGCGCCGCCTCCGGCTCTCTGACCCTCCCCCTCCCCCCCCTCCGTGCTCCACGGGCCCTCCATGACCCCGACCCCTGCGCTTGGAGGCCTCACCCAGGACCCACGCCCTTGGGCCACCACAGCGTTCCCACGGGGGCCCCTACATCTAGAGTGCCTGCATGCTGACCCCAAGGGCCCTGGCCACAACCCCCTCCCCAGAACGGCAGGCCCAGAACTGCTGGGCCCACTCCCTTGGGAGCCCTGGCCTGCAACGGGAAAAACGGAGGGTAAGGTTCCTACAGCGCCTGCCTCCCTTCTCATTTTAAGCAAAAATGGGTACGTTGAAGTGGGCACAGTGCTGCTCCTTCTCAGCTGGCTTCTCCCCGTTACCAGTTCGAACATCAGGAAAAACAAAATACTCCATTTAAGTCGGTATGTTTTCAGACTATCATTTTATTAAATACCGTATCGCTTAGCTGTATACGTTTATCTTTATAAAACTAAGTAAGTTTCTTTTGTAATAAAAATAACCTGACCTAGCCCTCCTTTGGCAGCACCGGAAACTGGGCTGGCCGAGGCTAGGCTTGTCCTCCCCTCTGATGGCCAGCCTTCATTTGCAGAGTACCCTGGGGGTCCACAAAACTGAGCCACCTCCACTGCCAAATCCCTGGGGTTCCGGTGTGGCCTTGGGCAAGTCCAACGGCTGGGTCCATCGCCGCTGCTTAAAACAGCCAGGCTTAGGGGGCTTAGGACTACGAATGTGAGGGCTCCAAGCAAGGACCCCCTCCGGCAACCGCATCTGTCAGAGCTGGGCCCGGGACTGCCCTCTCAACTGTGCCACCAGAAATTGGGAAGAGGCACACATCCCTTTCTGACACAGGAGGACCCTACTGGCCGGCCCTGTGCTGTGTCCCAACAAGCTTGTTGCCTGGACATGGGACGTCGCTGTGTGTGTCTTCAGCTCAGTGCCCCCTCTAACCAGGAGTCTGAAGCTTAGCCTTTCCCTGGACTCATGGGGGCAGCAGGAGGCAGGGAGGTGCATGCCTCTCCAAGAGATAGGCAGCCCCACAAGCATGCAACTAAAGAGCGGGAGTTGAGAGAAGCCAGCCCCTCACCCAGCCTCTAACAGGAAGCCCAGGATCTCCCCCAGGCAGGGAGCAGGTAGGGGCCACCCCATCCGGGAACAGCCACCAGGAAGCCCCAGACAGTGCTCTCGCCCTGGACTTGCACCCCAGGCCTCTTCCTGCACCGTCAGACTCTCCCCCGGATCATCAGAGCAGCCTGGTGGGGTGTGGAGGAGACACAACACCACAAGGCCAGCAGCCAGCTTGGAGATGGGAGCCCGGAGGACAGACTGCAACCAGTTTAGATAAACCTGGGTCTGGTACGTAACTAAGAGGCAAGTGTGCTGCATAAAATTAAGGCAAGTGGTTCAGGGTAGAGCCACGGGGGCAGACTCCCGGTCTCCCAGAAGACAGCTCAGGTGGCCTCAGAATGCTCCAGAAGCAGGCCCCACACCGCACCGAATTCTGTGTCCAGCACCTGTCCCACCTGGTGAAACAGGAAGCAAAGGAAGCAGAGGCACAGAAGCCCCATCCCACGGTCACTGCCAGAGCTGCAGCAGAAAACCTCCTTTTTAAACAAAAACCCTCCTCCTACGTCACGCCGGAAAAAGAACCCTTGGCTGACAACACAAACGGGCCTGCAGGCCTGGCTGCTCCTCACGGTGGCAGTGGGGTCCCCGAGGCCACTCCCTCGCCCAGCCGGGCGGCTCAGCGCACGGCGCACACATCCAGGATGCAGAAGCGAGCACGGCAGGTGGGGCAGGGCACGCGGCTAGCGAGCCAGGTGTCAGGGCGCTGCGGGTCCTGGCGGCTGGCGAACCACTTGCCCATGCAGGTGAGACACCACATGGGGCGACAGTAACACTGCTGGCACTCGCCCTCGTCCGCCTCCTGGCAGGTCTTCACCAGCTTCACGCTGGCACGCGTCTGCATGCAACCGATGCAGGCCTCCAGCTCCTGTGGGCGGGCCCAGAGGGTCACCGGCAGTGGGGCCGCGCCGCCGTGGGGCGCCCCCCCCCCCCCCGACCCCCCGGCCCCGAGGGAGCCTGGCCTGTGGGAGTCCACCTACCCCGCCCGGCCCTCACCTGGCTGCTGGGAACCGAGTAGGTCGGATTGACCTCCACCAGAGAAGCAAATGTCTCCAGGAACAGGTCGCCCAGGCTCTGACGGATGACCACGTTGGCCGCACTGCGGATGGGCGCGCGGAGTTTCTCACACAGCTCGCCATACTCCGTGGAGTTCAGCCTGCACAAGGTGGGGACTGCTGGGCTGGGGCCGTCGAACCAAGGCCCTTCTGCAGGGCGGGGCTTCATTCCTAATGGGGATGCCAAGGCGCCTCTAGGGTGACAGGGCACCCACGACCTCCCAGAACGCCAGGGGGCTCAGACACAGCCCAGCTGCCTGATGAAGACCAGCCAGCAAAGACAGCCCTGAAGCCAGAGCCCACAAAACCAGCACCACCCACCTGCCCCAAAGGGATGCAGCCAAGGGCAAAGAGGGACCGAGGGGGGGCGGGGGTTGCAGCCGAAACACAGGACACCTGACCTTCAACGGGGTCAGGCCCAAAGTGGGTCCCGGGAGAGGGACAGCAGACTGGCTGCAGCCTGAATGGGATGGGAAGACCCCAGCTTGGGCCCCAGAGCCAAGGCAGCCACCAAGCCTTGGTCCTGTACCACCCCCAAATGTCCCCAGTGTGCTCCCCCGAAAAGAGCTGTGGAAGGCGGCTCAGAGTGCATGGAAAAAGCAGCAGAGAATACCTGGGAGCGCGAGGGGGTGAGGCGCCCGGAGGGAGGGTCCCGCTGGAGCGGTGGCCAGAAGAGCCCGCTCTATCCGTCATGGCCTCCCGGAGAGGCGCGAGACTGGAACCCGGGCACCGGGCACCGGCCGCCTCTGGCTGCACCAGCCTCACTTTCACCCTAGCCACAGGCACACCTACCGGATGTCGAAGGCCTGCACAGCGGGGCTGGTGCTGGCCACGTGGATGGTAAGGAGCTGCACAGGCAGGTTGGAGTCTGGTGAGAGCTCGTGCTGCTGCGATTCTGTCACGGTCAGGTGCACATCCTGCTGCTGAGCCACGTGCACACGGTATGTGGTCACCTTCATCACCCACGTGTCCGTCACAATCACGCGAGCACCAGGTGCCCCTGTGGCAAACTTGTCGATCCGCCGGAACTCGGTGTTGACGGAGGAGGCGACGGCCCACCAGCCTGACTGCGGGAGGGCATAGAGGGCCAGGGTGCGGGCCAGTGGGTGGCAGGCCCACCGATCCCAGGACCAGTAGTAGATCAGGGAGCAGGCAACGGTGGGCAGGGTCACTGCCAGCAGGAGGAAGAGCCGCCAGGTCTCCGGGGCCTGGCTGGGGGAGTAGAGTTGCTTTTCTGAAGCTGCAAAGCACATGCCCACGTAGTACCCTACAAAGGATGGGGAGGGTCTCAGCAGAAATCGGGACTGCCAAGCCATTGTTCTCCACTCCCAGTGCCCACCAAGGGCCACAGTGCTGTCCCTGTACCTCCGGGGGGAGGGGTGCTTCCCCTAATCCCCAGCCCCGGGCCTGGCCCTCTGCCCTGTCGGCTCCCACAGCCAGGCCATGGTACCCCAGGGCAGGCGAGCCTTACCTGCCTCCACGGCTGGCCCAGTTCAACCCTTGCCCGTGACAACGGTAAAATAAATGAGGAAAAAACATTTTTAATTTACATCTTCAGTTTTACATAAGTAGTACACAATTACTGAAATAGGAAAAACTAAAAATGCCAAAACGAATACGAGAATTTTGTGTCCCCCCCCCCCCAAGGCAGAGCTGCACACTGGCCCTCCCAGGGGTGGGACCTTGGCCTCTCAACCCCACCCCTTCTGAGGAGGCAAATAAGAGCGTGGCCCATCCCGGAGCACAGATGTCCTGTGCCAAACAGGAAGCAAAGAATAACGGCGCACAGCACAAAGTCGTGGGCACGCTCCAGGGCCCCTGCAGGCCAGATCCGGGCCAATGTGCATGTCAAAACAAAGTAAATAGTGAAGGGCTGTGTGGGCACGCTTAAGGTTCCAGAAATAATGGTAACCTGTTTGCTGTTGCTCAGGTTTCTACAGTTAAGGTAACTTACTAGGTAGCAGCAGGTAACACACAATAACGTTTCAAAGCTTTTCAAAACAAGTTCCTAAAAGACAGACCCAGGACTGGCCACAAGGCCAGGCTGCATCATCTCCTCCACCTGCATGAGTCACTCAGCTCCCCAAGTTCTGGTTTCTGTCCGTCTGCAGCATGCTGACGGCTCAGCTCCTCACAGGTTATAGGAAAGGTGTAGATAAAGGGACTCCAGAAAACTGTGGGGGTCCTTAGCTCCCGGGGCAGAAATCCAACCCACGACCCTCCCGGGAGCCCAAGTTCTGAACTGCACTTTCCTCATCTCAGGGGTACTAAGGGGTACTAAGGGGGTACTGGGGTCTCAGGCTGGGAAAGCCATACAGTTACCCTGACAGCAGGTGGAGAGCCCAAGCTGGTCATGGAGACCACCAGCTCACCACGAAGACCCAGTCTCCATCCTGCCATGGGCTCCCCTCTGCTCACCTTCCCCGTTAGGCAGGCAGCTCTCCTGTTCGCGCCTGGCCTCAGCCCAGCCCCTTCCAGGTGGCTCTCCACACCTAGCCCAGGCTGCTGCGCCCTGCTGGCAGCTAGAAACTCCGGAGTCCACAGAGCCATAGACAGGGCCCCCTACCAGCCAGCCACCTGCCCTTCCAGACCTGCTTCTGCTCTGTATCCTCCAGACAACTCCCCCACACACAGGTAGCAACCGGCTTTCCAGCCAATTCCCGGTGTCCGACCAGTTGGCAAACAAGCCTCGGAGAGGCCCGATAGCACCTGGATCACCGCCCAGCCCAACCCCTGGGCAACGTGTAAGCATCTTGCCCCCGCCCTTTGCACCTGTGACACCCCCATGGGGTTACCCATCTCTGCCTCCTTCTCACTTCCACCTTCCGTTGGAATCTCACCGCCTCACGTAATAGCTCACGACCTGCCCTGGCTGGGCGAAGCATCACTATGCTCCCCGCTAGTATTCTAAGCCTACACTTCCGCCACCTGCAAGCGACCAGCTGCCGCCAGCACCTTCCTCTCCACTCCTGGGAGCAGCGGACGCGAGAGGCCCGGCTCAGAGCGCACGGGGCGGCCGGCCCACAGCCTCGGCTCTCGGGGTCAGCCGTTTCTCCCCAGCTCGGGGCGACCGGGGATCCGCTCACTCTCCCCCGACTCTTCTCCACAGGGAGGTAATCCCGCGCGGCCCAGCCACCTCTGGGATCCCGGAACTCGGCCGCGAGCCCGAGGGGCCACTTCTGTCCACCAAGGGGGACACAGGTCGGCGCCCCGCCCCGGGGACTCTCTGGGGGAGGGTCCGGCCTGCTCACCCAGCGGCAGCAGCGAGTGGCACAGCAGCGTGGCGGACGTGCGGCGCAAGTGGTAGGATACAAAGGCGGCGTCCTCGCTGCCCAGCCAGCCCGACAGCAGGTTCTGCACCGTGAGTCCGGCTGAGTGGAACTCAGTGGGCGTGAACACGAAGCACACGGCGAACACCAGGTAGGCCAGCGTGAAGGTGACCTCCGGGCTGTCCATCGCGCTGTCGCGGCCGCCAAGAAGCCGTCAGGGGGGAGAGGCCCGCAGCACCCGACGGGAAACAGACCCGACAGCTCCGAGCCGGTGGGCGCCGGCAGGTGGGCGCCGGCCGGCGCGGGGCGCTCTGGGAGATGGTGTCCCCGCCCGCGGGGCATTCTGGGCCATGGGTCCCCACCCACAGATCGGCGTGGGACGCTCTAGAAGACGTCACGTCGACGCGGGGCCCCCTGGGGAATGGAGTCCCGCCACCAGGTCTACCGCGGGGCACTCTGGGAAGTGGAGTTGCAGCGCCCCGCACAGCACAGCCCGAAGTCGCGAGTCCGCGACAGTCCTCGCGAGGGTTTGGCTCTATCCCACGACCCGCCTTGGGGGCGGTGTTTCAGCTAGCCCCATTTTACAACTGGGGAAACTGCGGCTTGGGCCAATGGCTGTCATGCCTTGGCCTTTCCGCGGAACCCAATCGCGTCCGTAGCCGAACCCGAGATCCCCGGGCGACGGCGAGCCCAGGTCACCTCCCCGCCCGCCAGCAACCCTTCCCTTCCCCTCCGCAAGCTAGACGAGCCGCGATTCCGGCGGCTTCCGGCGCCCAGCGTGCCCCGCCCCCGGAAGTGGAGCCGCCGGCGCCCCGTGCGTCCCGCCCCCGGCCGCGCGCTGATTGGCCGCGGGCGCCAACCGTCGGTATTTGAATCGGCGGCGGGCGGACGGTGTTCCGGACTCGGCGGCGCGTCCCGCTCCTTCGGCTTTGTATGGCCGCCGGCAGGTAGGCGGCGGCGGCGGCGGCGGGGTCCTGGGCTTGGGGCTCCATCCCCGCCTCTTCCCCCGGTCCCGCGCCCCGGCTCCCGACTCCGCGACAGCAGGGCTACGCCCGCCCTTGACAGGACCTCCTCCCTCTCCGGCTTCTCCGGAGGCTCCCGTGTCCCCTGTCCACACGGCACCCCTTCACCCTTGAGCCCAGCCCGCCGGCTTTTACGGCCGCCGTTGCAGGGGCACCTTCCTGCCGGGGCCCCTAGCAGCCCGCGTGTCCTGTTGGTCTCCGGTCACAGCCCGGGAGTGGAGCTGGCTGACTTCTTCCCCGCTTCCCGACGCCTGGTGGGCTCCTGCCTACTGGTGCCTCCCTGCTCCTTCGTCGCCCTCTGGGAGGTCCACGTGTCAGGGTCCTTCGCGGCCTGGTCCGCTGGCCTCCCCTCCCATCACCCCCTGACCTCGTCCAGCCTCAAATACCACCGGTAGGCGTGCCTTGCAAATGTGCACCTCCCACCCTTAACACCACCGGCTCGCCGCGTGGTGTCCGAGACTGGGCTCCTAATCTCCAGCCCTTCCCGGCTCTGCGGGGCAGCTTCATGCTGCTTTCTCCACACCCCACCTGGGAGCCATGGCTGACTCCAGCTGCACCTGCCGCAGAAACCTAGGCTCCAGCCCTCCCGGTATTGCCGATTCTCCCCACCTGCTCCACGCAGCTCCGCCCCCCCCCTCCCGTTTCCTGCCCCGCACTTCGGCTCACAAGGCCGTCTGGGCTGGCGGCCTCTGCTCCCGGCCGCCATCGTCAGCGGAAGCCAAACCCGACAGACCCCGCCAAGGTCTCGCCACCTTCCTCAGGGGAGAGAATGCCAGAAAGGTGTCCTCTAGACCCTTCCCTCATTCACCCTACAGCCATCCTGCCCCCTTCTTGCTTTCCCCAGTTGTTCCCCAAAAAACCTGAGTCGTCCTTGCCTCCTGTTTCTCTCCCACTCCCAAGTGCCTCGTGGGCCTGCTGGCCAAGCCAGAGCCTATCATTCCACCCCTGACCGTCTGCAGGAGCTTCTGACCCCACGCTTCCCTCCTGCCCATTCCCCAACCTCCACACACACGGCCCCATCCCCACATCTTCCAGGGCATCTTGTTACCCTGACCTCGCCTCTTTCCAGGCCACCTCTGCTCCCTCTGTTCCAGCCACCCTGGCCTTGCTCTTCAAGCTGCAGCCTCCAGCAAAACACCTGTGATGTTCCCTTGGCTAGGTCCTCCTGTGACTCCTGGGTTGGGAGTGTGATGCTGGTAACCATCATGAGGACCCTGGGAGGGCGGAGTGGGACTGTTCTGGAGCCCCCTGGGCCTCAGTGGAGGTCCCTGGTGCACGTCTCTAGACTCCCAAGTCTCAGTGTAGAAGCTCCTCCACCCCCACCAAGTAATTCTTCACCTTGCTGGTCGCTGCCTCGTCCCGCTCTTCCTCTGGGCCTTGGCCCTGGTGTACCCCCAATTCCCAGCCTGTGGTGGAAGAGAAGTCACAGCACCCCTCTGCTTTCCTGTTTTCTGCTAGCTTGGCAGCCTTCTCCAGCTGTGCTGCGGCCTCGGTGCCTTCAGCAGAGGCCTGAGGGGAGACCCAGGTTTCTGAGAGGCCAGCACACCCGTCTTCTGACTTTTACCCACAAAACCCAAGTTGTTTTGAAAAGCCGACTCTTCCTCTTTGCGCTGCAGGCCGAAGGTCCTTCTAGCTCTTTGTCTTGGGAGGCGGCAGGTCCCCTGACGCAGTACAAGGACTGCCTGGCAGAAGATGTGCTGCCTGAGATGTGACCCACCTGCCTTGCAGGGCCAGCTCGTTGTCGTGTCTTTTCATCCGGACTACACAGCCCTCACGCTCACACGCACTGTTTGCTTTTCCAGGATGAGTCTGCAGATCTGCAACGATGAAAACGTCACTGGTGACAAAAGTGCAGAAAACTGTGAGTTCCTGTTTTCGCCACCAGAACCTACCGGAAGATTATCTGTGCTTCGTCTGTCCCAGAAAGAAAATGTGCCACCCAAGAGCCTAGTCAAAGCTACGAAAGTAAGCACGTTTTGCCTGCGTCACATCTACCGCGTGTCACGTCAGGCCACCCTGGGACTCGTTCTCCGGGGCAGGGCGGGGGGGGGGGGGGGGGCACGGCCGGCAGAGTGGTGAAGACACCAGCTGTTGAACGGGTCTCCTCCTTCCCCAACAGGTGACTTTTCAGACTCCTCTGCGAGACCCACAGACGCACCGCATCTTGAGTCCTGGCGTGAGCAGCAAGCCCGAGGCTCCTTTTGCTCTGGAGGACACTGTTGGGCTGGAAAATTCTCACCAAAACTGGGCCCAGAAACAGAAGTAAGTGTCGGTGCTGCTTGGCATGCTGCCGTTCGCATCCACTCCAGCAGACGCGGCAGGAAAATTCTGTCTGGTCGAGTTCCTCCTGGTTTCCTCTCTAAGCGTGTGCAGTGCGGTGCCCAGCGCGCTCGCGTCGGGAGTCATTTGTTAGTAGAAAAGCAGACAATGAAACGCTTAGGATAAGGTTAAGTTTCGTGTCTGCTCCCTTCCTATGCCTTCGCCAGCAAATCGGCCTGGGCTTTTCTTTCATGAGAGGTCTGATCGCATCTTTAAGGAAGGACACTCTGGCTTCTTCCTGGTTTCACGCCCCCCTGGTCACCTCTCTGCTCGCACGCCCGCTTGGACACTCTCGCTGTCAAACCCTGCTGTGTCTGCGGGCAGAGTTCTCGACCTTGCCTTTCTCTGCAGTGAAAAACCTTGATCCACCTGTGCCCTGTCCCTGACTATGTAGCTAGTGGTCCCGGCTGAACAGGGAAGATAGGCTAGCACAGAAGACCTTAACCGTGACTATTCGTTTGTCTACGTCTCTCAGAAACCCATGTGACCTAGTCGGCCCGGCAGTGTTGACTTATGAGGAAACGCTTGAGAAAGTTAATCCCAGGAAGAAGATCGACTAAACATTCTTTTCTTGTCTTTAGCTTATGTTTTCTTACTAAAATCTAGTGACAAAGCTCACAGGTTCCTTAGCGTTAACTAAGTTCGTTTCTAAAAAGCCAACAGTTCACCAAGGAAGTTGACACCAAAACGACCAATGGAATTGTCCAGAAACCATTGATGGGCAATGCCAGCCTGCCTCCAGGGGATGTGAGACCAGCCTCTGAAGATAGGCCGTATTCCAGTGGACCCACCTCTGCTCCGCTGGCCAGCCTGGGTCCCTCAAGCTCTCCCCAGATGCCAGAAAGTCTTGAAAATCAAGTGGCATCTCTAGGACAAACGTCTAGGAGCCCTGAGCAAGCCTTGGAGGAAAATGCTCGTTCTTGTTTCTTCGAGAAAAGTATTATATCCACCTCAGAAATCCTAGAAGACCCTTCCCAGATGGCTCTCCAGGACAGAAGGGAAGGTCCTCGTGGGGCTGCCAGAGAAAGTTCCAGCCAGGTCCCTGCTTCCTCAGCCGGGGCTCCTTTGCCCCCAGCTACTCTCCTCAAAGGAGCAGGTGGAGAAGGGCCCCTCGAAGACCTGCCTGGCGAGGCCCCCGCTGGCCCTGAAGACACTTCTGGTCCTGGGAACACCATCCTGGACGGCCCCCTGAACGCTGGAGGGGCCACATCCCCAAGTCCTCAGAAGGAAGAAGCCGACGGCCGGCAGGCTGCCTCTTGGAGGCGCGGGCCCACAGGGCTAGAATTTGAGTTGTCTGCCAATGCCGTCAGCAGAGGGAAAGCGGGGAAGGGACCCAGCCTTAAACCTCCCTCTAGGATACCAGAGCCGAGGCAGGAAAAGGCACCCGAGGAGGCAGGTGAGGGGCCCGTTCCCCTCCCCCGGGGGTCTTACGACCTGGATTGGAGCAAGCTGGATGACCCGAACTTTAACCCATTTGAAAGTGGAGGAGAGACCCTGCCCCCAGAGTGCCCCCAGAGCAGGCCCGCGGGGACTGTGACCAAGCAGCCGCAGGCCGGCCTGGAGGCCACAGGGCACTGCCCCCTGAGCCAGTGAGTACTTGGTGGTGGTGGCGGTGGGGTGGCTGGTCACTCAGCACACCAGAGGACCCCAGGCCAGAGATGCCACTTACACGTGCCCCCGAGGAGGGGCCTCGGAGCATACATAGGCTGCACAAGGCAGCTGCCGGTCGTGGGTCCTGAGACTGAGGAGGGGGCTCACGGCCACCTTAGACGGCTGGTGAAAGATCACAGAGGGGAGTGCACAGCGGTGCCCCGTTCCGTCCACTCCACAGGGGTGTGGGCAGCTCTTGTGCTACTTTTTTGTTTTTTCAATTTTTTTTTTTTTTTTTTTTTTTAATTTTAGAGCGTGTGCACAGGCAGAGGAGGAGGGGGCAGAGAGAAACTCTTAAGTAGGCATCACACTCAGGGCAGAGCCCAATGGAAGTCAAGAGTCAGATGTTCGACTGACAAAGCCAACCAGGCACTTTTTTTTCCCCCCAAGTCTTTGTGCTTTCTTAAGAGCATTATCTGTAATGAACCTGGAAACCTAGAAAGATTTCTAGCAAGTTCTGTCTACTTCCAAAGCCGGTGGAGTGGCCATCCGCACTTGGGGTGGTGTTTCATGCTCTCTCGCACTCTCTGGGGACGGCTGCTGAGTGGCCACCAAGTGCTGGGTCCCCGAGAGAAGCTTGGCTGGTCCGGCCCCCACACTTGTACACACGGCCTTGGTGGGCATCCGGGGACTGCCCCTCTGGCACGTGCACCCTACCTGCCCGGTATTGGAACCACACCGGGCGGGCCTCCCGGCCCCAGCACCCACTTCCCCTCCCTCCAGTGTGTTTTGCCAGTTTCCTAGTAAAAAATGAAGGCTTGGGGTTTGCTTTTTGAGTTGAAACAGCCCCGGAGCTCCTGGCCCGGGTGTCCTTTGAGGTTTGTGGTTCTTGTGCAGTTGAGGTGGGCCGGGCTGCAGGCCTCACCCCTGCACCTGGCTGGTGGGGGGACAGGGGTGCAGGCCCGGCTGACCCCATCTCTTCAGGCAGGTGCCTTCGGCCTCAGCAGATGACATACCCGTGACGCAGACCACGGCAGGGACCCCAGGCGCAGGGGGCGAGGTAGGGCCACGTGCACGTGCGTGCTGTCATCACGTTCATACGGGGGCCGGGTGGGACACCGTGCCCAGACAAGACTGGGTGATGCAGGGGTCCCGTGCAGGACCTTCGGCTGCCCCAGGGTGCCCCCACGGAGCCATCCTCCTTCCAGGAGGGAGCCGCGGGCCGTGCCAGTGCGTCAGCGCCGCCCCCTCCTCCGCACGGGCCGGAGCCCCCCTCGGACCTGGATGAGGAGCACTTCCGAGACCCCGCTGAGGGTACGTACGTTGTCCCTGGTCACTGGTCTGTCCCTGCTGGCGGCCTGCCGTTCCGTCCGTGCCTGTACCTGGCGGCGGCTTCCCGGCAGCTCTCTTTCTGGGCTTTAAGTGATCCACGCAGGGGCTTCGGGTTGAGCAGAAGGTGGTCGTTCTCGGGGCACAGCCGCAAACCCAAAGGACTTCTAGGAACGGAGGTCGGAGGCTCAGGGGAGTAGACGGGAGTCACGCAGGAGGTTCTGTGCAGATTCACAGGGTTGCAGAGTTGCTGTTAGGACAGAGCACCCAGGCTGATGTACCGGAAGCTCTGAAGCTTCAACACGGGTGGGATCGAGTTGCCCTAGTAGACGTGACACAACCTGCTGGGGTCTCCATTTCGGTTGCTTAACCTCCGGGCAGAGGGAAGACTGGCAGTGGCACGTAGGGCTCGTCTGTGGCAGGATGATCGAGGGTCCTCACCGTACGGGGGTCCCGAAACCGCGGACAAGCTCGGCTAGGGCAGGCCCGCGTCCCCACAGGGACCCTGGAGTCCCGTGACGCTGGGTCTTGTGTCTGGTTCCTTTCACCGAACGTGACGTTCTCAAGGTTCATCCACGTTGTAGTGGGTGTCAGCGCGCCCTTGTCACGGCCGAGATCGTTCCACTGTGTGGATGGACCACGCTTGCAAAGCACTCAACGGCCGGTGGCCGCGTGGGCCGTTTGCTCTGGACGGCCGGTAGAAGGCTGCCGCGAACATCCGTGTACACGGATTCGTGTGGACGTCAGCTTTCCGCCTCTCTTGGGCGTAAACCTGGAAGGGGTCCGGGTCCGGGGTCGCGGTGTGTGAAAGTGCCGGGGCCACCGCCGGGTGGCTTTCCAGAGGGGCGGCACCATTTGGCGACCGTACAGCCACGGTGTTTGGGGGTCCCCGTCAGCACCTGCGTGTCTCGGACTTCGATGCCCACCGTCCTGGGGGCGGTGAGGCGCCACCTCGGCACCTCCCTGGGGACCAGCATCTCTTCACGTCCCCTCACAGGTTTTGTGGAAGGCCTGCTGGGTACTCTGTTGTCTTCCTGGAGTGTTCCTCTTTGTTACCCAGTCAGGGTTTCAAACCTGTCCCCGCTAAGCGTTTCCTGTGAGATCTAGGGCTTGGAGAATGTTCTTTCCGGGGGTTGTCTTTTCTTTCTCGGTCCTTTGAAGCACAAACATTGACCTGGAAGTCTGATCTACCTGTTTTTTCTTTTGCTATTGGTGCTTTTGGCCTGAGGTCTGGGAAACCATGGTCAAATCCAACACTGTGAGGATTTGCCCACCGGCTTCCTAAGGCTTTCGCGTTGTTCTGTTTGGGTTTTCGATTCATGTGGGTTAATCCGTGTGGTGTGAGGCGCCCTTAGGCTTTTTAAGGACGGGGGGATGTCCTCAGGAACTCCAGGAGTCTGGACAGTGGTTCTAGAGAGCAGTTCCCGACTTGGGCGGTCCGGTCCCTTGGGAACCCCGGGTTGTCCCACCTGGAGAGCTGCCACTCTGCTCCCTGCGGCACACAGGACAGCCCCACGGCGTGACGTGGCCCCAAGCGCCGTTAGAGGCCAGGAACCCCGCTTCAACGTGAAGGGTGGTCGCTCCCGGCCGCAGGGGTGGTGGGGGAGGGTCACGGCCCGGGCCGGCCCGCCCCGCCGACGCGCCGCCTCTCAGTTCTAGGCACGGGGGCCGACGTGGACTATCTGGAGCAGTTCGGGAGTTCCTCGGTGAGTCCCCGGCGCCGCCCCGGCAGCCTCTCCCCGAGCGCGGCTCTCCCAGAGCGGCCCTGTGCCACTGTCGCACCCCCGAGGTCACGCGGGTCCTTGCGCTCGAGCACCGGTGGCCTCCGCACCTTCCCGGGATGCGGGGCCGGTGTTGTGACGGCCGCGCGGGTCTCCCGGTGGCCCCTCGGGGCCCCGTCTCGGGGCCCCGGTGTGGATGTGAACTCCGCCCGGGAGGTGGCGGCTCCTGGTGCGCTGCGGTCCCCCTGTCGGGGACCTCTGCGACCCCGCTGACGTGCCCGTCCCTTCAGTTTAAGGAGTCAGCCCTGAGGAAACAGTCCCTGTACCTCAAGTTTGACCCGCTCCTGAAGGACAGCCCTCAGAGACCGGCGCCCGCGGCCCCGGACGCCAGCAGGTAGCCCCCGCCCCCCACCGTGGCCGTGGGCTCCGAGCAGCAGGGGAGGTTTCCGGACCGAGTGGGGACACTGTGGCTCGGCCTCGGGAGCCGCCAGGTGCGGGCGGGACGGCGGGGGGGGCCTTGCTCATGAGGCTCTGTGGGCGCTCGGGCGCCCTCTCTGTCCCGTGTCTGTGCGGTGCCCGCGTCCCCGTGCCCGTCAAGAGGCCGAGCCCGAGCACTTGCAACAGGCCGTGAGACCCACGAACCCGAGGACGGTTCTTCTCTGGGCTTGGGGGGAAACGGGTGCGATTACCTTCCCTTGTGGGGTCTCAGCACACAGGACGTGGCTGCGCCGTCCTCGGGAAGCCTGCCCGAGGCGAAGCTGCTGGACCTGGACTTCCTAGGAGCCCCGGGCGCTGCCGTAAGTGACGCACGAATGCATCTTGTCGAGGGCCTGACTTCATGCTGGGCGGGTGGGGAGGGGGTGGTGAGGGCCCCTTGGTCGCCGCGCGGCACCAGAGGCCCCCGGCCTCTGTGGGCCTCTCCCCCGATGGCAGGGTAGAGCTGGAGGTGCGTGTCAGAGCATGTGGCCCAGCTGCTGTGTCCCCTCTCCCCACCCCCGCAGGTGCTGGACGCCCCTCCGTGCATCTTCGGGCCTGGGGGTCCCCTGCTGCCCACGGGCCCCATCGTGGGCTCCATCGTGGAGGTGCCACAGTATAGCCAGAAGGACATGGACGCAGCGGTGAGGACGAGGCGTGGGGCGGCCGGCTCCCCTCGTGCGGCTGCAGGGAGGGTCGTGGGTGTCGGCTTGCCGGGGCTCCCGTGTTCCCACCCGGCATCTCACAGAGCACCCGTTTGCACACGGAGGGTCTCGGGTGTCCTCCGAGGGCACTGCTTTGAGCCACCCCAGGGGTCGTAAAGCAGGACCGCTGGACCTTGAGCCCCCGAGTCCCCTCGCTGCCCCCACCGTCCCCTGGGCAGCGTTTAGCCAGGCCTCTGCTGGGAGGCCTGCGTGCGGGGCCCAGATGGGGACATCGTCTGCCAGCAGCAGCGTCCTGTCCAGTCCCCTGGCCCCCTGGCCCCCTGGCCCCCTGGCCCTGCTCGGAGCTGGCCCCATCCCTTCTGCTGGCCTGCTCTCTCGGTCTCGCCTATAGTGGGAGGCATCCCCCACAAACAGGCATACTTCCCGGGGGCCGCGGGGACCCCTGCTATGTGCCTGCCCACCAAGGGGGACCCGCCCATCTCTGACAGACGATGCCCCTAGGGGACTTGTGCTCTCCCTGGGTACCAGCTGGCCTCGCCCCTGCAGTGCTCTCCACCGCCCCTCCCCCCCTCCCCCCCTCCCCCCCCCCCCCCTCCCCACCTGCCACGTGGTCTGTGCAGGTGGAAGCCACACGACAGGAGAACGTGCTGCTCAGGAGCAGGTGTGAGACGCTCCACGCGAAAAACCTGGAAATGGGGTAAGGCCCGTGGCCGGCTCCGCGCAGCTCAGGGTACCCACTGCGGGCCGCCACAGGCACGTCTGTTCTCCCCGCAGGAAGATAATGGACGGGTTCGAGGGGATCGTGTACCAGGCGATGGGTGAGTGCTGGCACCTTGCAGCCTCGGCGGTACCGCGGGCCTGGTGCTGGTCAGCCCCAAAACGGGCCAGACCCTGGGCGGGTGTCTGGGGCCCCTGCAGGCATCAGGGCAGCACGCCGCCCTGGGCGCTGTCTCTGCGGTCTGCCCCTGCACCCCCAGGGGGCTGTGTGTCAGGCGGGGCTCGGAGGGGGCACCAGTCTTCACCCGGGGCAAGTCTTGAGCCCCGTGGAGCCCCCCCCCCCGCCGCCCTCCCCGGCAGTGGGGACAGACCGGTGGCTGCAGGCTCCGTGGGGCCCTAGGTTCCTGTCGCCTGACCCTGGGCGCCTGTGCCCCCTCCAGGCCCTGCTCTGGAAGGTCACCCCAGAGAGGGGCCCCGTCGCCCAGTCACTAGCAGGACCGTGCGGGACCATGGGTGGGGTCGCCCGCCTCTCCACCCCTCCACCCCTCCACCCCTCCACCCCTGCTTGCCCTCGCCTGTGCTCCTCTGATCCCCAGTGCCCCTTCCTCTTTTCTCAAGAGGAGGCTCAGAAACAGAAGGAACTCGCAAAAGCTGAGATCGAGAAGATTCTGAAGGAGAAAGAGCAGCTGACTGCAGACCTGAGCTCCATGGAAAAGTCTTTCTCTGACCTGTTCAAGCGGTTCGAGAAACAGAAGGAGGTGATCGAGGGGTACCGCACGGTAGGTGGCGGCGAGCGGGCACGTGCCTGTCCTCCCCCAGAAGGTCCCTGGGGGGCTGTGGTCAGCCCCCGACCAGGCCTGTCCTGGGTCCTGATCTTGTCCAGGAAGCTGCAGTCTCTCCACAAAGATCACTCAGCTGGGCGCCGGGCTGTGTCTTTCCTCGCCGGTGGGCCCAGGTGGGGGAGTCCACCGTGTGCCTAGGGACGTGTGGGCACGTGAGCAGGGGCGCCGAGGGGCCCAGACTGGAGGCAGAGCCCCATGGGCCCCAAGGAGTAGGCTGCTGCCTTCTGGAGGAGGGCCTGGCCCGTTGGGCATGGTGGGCCTGCAGGAGGGCAGAGGGAGGCCCCCGCGTGGTAGAGGGACGGCCCGGTGACTGCGAGATGCTGGGACAGGCCTGTGCCGGGGGCGGGAGCGGTAGCCTGGGGCCCCTGAGGAGGGCCGGACGGGGCCTGGAAGGTGCCACCTGCCGGGCAGGAGGGAGCCAGCCACACAGAGAGCTGAAAGGCAGGGCCTGTTGCCCTGAGGAGCGGGGACTTGAAGGGCCCTAGAGGACGGGGACCAGGCCGAGCTCGCACTGTCTCACCATGACTCTGGGGCAGCTGGTGGTGTTCCTGCTGTGCAGAAGAAAGTCCTTAAAGCTCGAAACTCCTTGAAAGATAGCTGACTAGATAGTTAGCACAGGAGACTGGAAACACCTGAGCCAGGGTCACAGTCCATAGAAACAGACCCACAAGGTGGCAGGTGAGGGACCCGGGTGGGGTGTGCCTGCACCTCTCAGCTGTGGTGGGGGAAGCCACCCAGGCCGGTACCCCCACCCCCCCAGCTGCCTCCTCCCCTCCAGGCCTGTCCACCCCCGCACTGCCCTCAGGTAGGCACTGCCACAGGCCGACGGCGCCTGATCCCCGTAGTTACGAGCGTCCTTGCGGCAGAGCCCTCGGGAAAGGACCGGGTGGAGGTTCGGTCCCAGGACTAAGGCGGAGCATGACTTGGGGGACACGGCTGAGCCCGGCTGCCGTGAAGCACCAGCACAGTGGGTGCGGGGGCCTAACTGCAGCCCCCAGGGCGGGGGGCTGGTGGGGGGGGAAGGCAGCCTGACGCAGGGGGGGACCCGAGAGCTGTCGGGCCATACGCCTTGCGTGGAGAGAGCCGGCAGAGAACCTTCTACGACCGGGAGACGGTTTAGGAGCTAACGCTGTTCTTAAACATGGGGCCAGGGGACGGCGTGGGACCCCGGGGGCATGGGGCCTCAGCCTCTAGCCTTCCCCCTGACCATACCCCTGGCCACACCCCTGCTCCTCCTCCTCCTCTGTGGGTTCTGTCGTTGCCTGAAACCAGGCAGAAGACTGGCCGCACGGCTGTCCCCACGCGGCCCTTAGGTAGACAGCCCTGTCTGCGTGTCCTGGTGGTCGGCCGAGAGACAGGGCCATACCCGTGGGCTCTGCGCGCCGGGCAGGCTGAGGGGGGTGGGTAGGGGGGCCGTGGGCAGCCATGGAAGCCGGGAGGGGAGGCCTGCTGCTGTGTCCACGCAGCCTGCCTTGTCAGAGCTGTTGTGTTAACACCCCGGAGCCCCTTGGTCGTGGGCGCATCCACACCTGACCCGGGATCCCCCAGAAGCCAGGCCTGACGGGCTCCAGCAGAGTTAGCGGTTCCCGTCTGCTCATTCTTTCAAGAACGAAGAGTCGCTGAAGAGATGTGTGGAGGATTACATAGCAAGAATTGAAAAGGAGGCCCAGCGGTACCAGGCCCTGAAGGCCCACGCGGAGGAGAAACTCCAGCGGTGAGTGGTGGCGGGAGGGGCCCGGCGGGGCTGGGAATGGGTGGAGAAAAGTCCGGCCGGCCTGGGGAGGGAGACCCTCCAGCTCCCCCGGACCCCGGTCCTTGCCCATCTCAGCCCCGCCCTCTGCGTCTCCAGCGCCAACGAGGAGATCGCCCAGGTGCGCAGCAAGGCCCAGGCGGAGGCCTCGGCCTTCCAGGCCAGCCTGAGGAAGGAGCAGACGCGCGTCCAGTCACTGGAGAAGACGGTCGAGCAGAAGGCGAGCCCCGGGGCCCCGGCCCCTGGGCGGGACGCGAAGGGAGGGACCCTCCTGGCTCGGGGACCTGCCCCGTAGCAGGGGCTGGTCGCCAGTCCCTTCTAGTGCTGGGCCTTCTAGTTCTAGGCCCCGTGGTCTACTCCCGGGAATCGCGCAGAACCCAGGGATCCGGTCCGGCCGGCTCGGGCAGTGGCAGTGGAGCACGTGACTCTTGATCTTGGGTCGCGAGCTCAAGCTCTACGTTAGATGTGGACACTAAAATCTTTACTAAAAAAGTCAGACCCCTGTTTATTTGTTTTTCTCCTTCAGACTAAGGAAAACGAGGAACTGACCCGAATCTGTGATGACCTCATTTCCAAGATGGAGAAGATCTGACCAGGAGGCCCCTTCCCAGCACCCCTGCCCCGTCTGTCTGTCTGTCTGTCTGTCTGTGGAAGGTGTCGTGTTCCTTCTTTTTTCTTAACTTCAGCTCGTTTTTAAATTAGGTTGCTTTAACAAGAAGACTAATAAAGTTTTCCTTCAGTTCAACTGTTGGAGCTGCTCTGGCTTTGATGACATTGCAGGTTTCCGGCTTCGGCGGGAGGCTGACCCCACCCCGCACTGCCCCCCGCGGCCCTGCCTTCTCCTCCACGTGGCCACTCGGTTCCCATGGTCCCCACGGGGGACTGAGTGTCCACCTCGCGACCACAGGTCAGAACCCAAGCGGACGAAGGTTCTCATGTGGAAAAGCAACCTGTCAACAGCCTGGGTGACGGTCAGCCTGTGTCCCTTGCGAGACTGCGGTCCCTGCGGATGGAACTCTGGCCAGGGGTCACGGGCACTCTAGCGCAGTTGACAGACAGCTGCTAGAAGGCAGGTTTCCCGGGCCGGAGCCCACGGCCCCCCGTGGGCCGGTTCTGCGAGCGCCGCCTCCTGGACCCCACCCCCACCCCCCGCCCCCAGAGCAGACCTTTGTAACTGGCGAAGCCACGGTGTCCGAGTCCCTCACCCCTCCGGCCCCCAGGCTGTCCCAGGGGAGGGCCCGCTGGACCCTCGGACATTGGCCTGAGCCCGGACCTTCCCCGCACCCTTCCCCTACCTGCTCGCTGACCACATGGTAACGGGATGGGCCCGAGAGGGGGGTTCTCGGGGTGGGACACAGAGTGGGGCTCAAAGCAGCCCCCGGGAGCCTTTCTGAACCGGGCGGCAGCCGGGCCTGCAGGGGCATCAGGGGATCCCGGCCCCTGGACGTCGACGGGCGGAGAGCTGGCCGGACACCGGTC